TTGGAGGCAAAAAAAAACCCCTGAGAAATTTGGGAGCAAAAAAAAAAAAAACCCCAGAAATTTGGGTACAAAAAAAAACCCCAATAATTTGGGGTGCAAACCCTCCACCCCAATAATTTAGGGGCAAAAAAAACCCCCTCCAACAATTTGATGGCAAAAAACAACCCTCAATAATTTGGGGGCAAAAAACAACCACCAATAATTTCGGGCTAAAACAACCCCCAACGATTTGGGGGTCAAAAAATAAACCCCAATAATTTGGGGTCAAAAAAACCCACTCTATAATTTGGGGTCAAAAAAAAAAAAATCCCAATAATTTGGGGACAAAAAAAAAAAAAATCCCAATAATTTGGGGACAAAAAAAAAAATCCCAATAATTTGGGGACAAAAAAAAAATCCCAATAATTTGGGGACAAAAAAAAAATCCCAATAATTTGGAGATTAAAAAAACCCCAACGATTTGGGGCAAAAAAACCAAACCCCCAACGATTTGGGGCCTAAAAAAAAACAACAATAATTTGGGGTGCAAACCGCCCACCCCAATAATTTAGGGGCAAAAAAAAAAAACCCTCCAACAATTTGACGGCAAAAACCAACCCCCAACGATTTGGGGCCAAAAAAAACCCCCAATAATTTGGGGCCAAAAAAAAAAGACCCACGATTTGGAGGGCAAAAAAAACCAAACAGCCCAGAAATTTGGGGCCAAAAAAAAAAAAAACCCCAACAATTTGGGGCCAAAAAAAAAAAACCCAATAATTTTGGGAGGAAATGGCAACTCACAGCGTCTGCATGTTGGCCTTGGTCAGCTGGAAGGCCCACTCGAGGGTGGCGGGCTCCAGCCCGGTGACGCGCTTGCACTCGATGGCGACGTTCAAACTGCGGGAGATTCCGGGAGGGAAACGGCGTCGGCACCGGGGATACGCCGCCGGGCACCGGGAACGGCTTCGGTGACACCGCGACGGGCAACACTCACCCGTTCCGGTCGTATTTCTTAAAAACCGGGAAAGCTTCGAGGGGATCTTCAAGCTGGGGAAAAAAAAAATAAAAAAAATCAAACACCACCCCAAAAAAAAAAACAAGAGATGAGACAGTTTCGCTCCCACCCGCCAGACCTTGCTCTGCAGGGGGGTTTTCACCAATTTTAGGGTTTTTTACCCCATTTTGCGCCCCGCCAGGGAGGGGGACACTCACTTTGTTGGCGGCTTCCACCTTGGCGCAGACGGCGTCCATGGCCGCTCGTTCCTCCAGGCGCTTTTGCTTCTTTTCCTTGGCTTTGCTCGATTTCCTCTGTGTTGAAAAAACGTAATTTTCACTAAATTCGAGTTCTTTTCATAAATCATGGAGCTGCACCAACCAACAACAAAAAAGATTTTGCGCAGAAATTAAAATAATTAAACCCACCGAGGAAAAAAAAAAAACAAGCAAGGAGCAGGTGAAGAGCGGGATTCACGCCAAAATCATTGAAAAAAAGTGATTTTGGGGTAAAAAAACGGGGTTTTGATGAATGTGCAGGGGTGTGTTGAACCCTCTCCCGCTCCTCAGGTTCGTTACCACCGGGGTAATTAAATTAAGGGGGTTTGGCCCCAATATCTTTGGTGTTTTAACGAAGCTGGCGCTCATTAGACACGTCAGAAGAAAAAGGTGGCCTCAAGCAGCATCTGCGTAAATTTGTCCCTTTTAAATGTTTATTTTTTTGGGAATTTTAGGAGTTCACCGCCAGAAATAACCCAAATGGGGGTGATTTTACCCCAAAATAAAAAAAGGGGAGCCCCCCAATCCTGCAAATCCCCCACGAACCCCAAAGACCCGCAGGGTGCCAACGCAGGTCTGGGGATTCCTGAGCTTCACCTCCCCCAAAACTAACTTAAAAACACCCAAAAACCCAGTAATTTACAGGAAAAAAAAAGGCGATGCACCTGGTTCGGGGAGCAAGACAAGGGAAGCCTCCCCCTAAAAATACACCTGTTGGTGTTTTGGGGGGAATTTAAGGGGTTTTGGGGAGTTGGAGCTGTGGTTTTTTTCCCTACCACCTGCTGCTGGCTGGGAAGCAGACCCTAAAAGCTCCAAGTTTGTCTCATTTTGGGGAGAAAACCTGAAAGTTTCCTGGCAGTTGGGTCTCCCAGTGTCTCCCCAGACCCCCCAAACCCTTAGGGTCTCTGAACACACTCT